TATAAAGCCCGTTAGCCTTTGTTGATATGTTTTTGAGGACCTGACGGTGCACAACGTTCAATAGCATTCCATCATTTTGATCGAGCGATTGAAACATTGCATTAATTTATGCAGCACAATTTGTGAACAGAAAACAAAGGATTGTGCACCGCCGCGAGCTACCAACATAAACTGTAGCACCGTTGTTTTTATCTCTGATGTTTATTCTTCTAGATAGAAGCTCCTTGATTCTAATTCATAATTGATTTTTTTAATTAGTGGAACTCTTTTCACTTGTCACTTCCCTCCTGACATAACCAGTCTCCTCTACTATGTTTGAACATAACTGGCGCACAATGATAACTCACAGCAACATGCAACAGGGTGTGCAAACGGAAGCAACATGTTACATCCAACAATGTCGGGAGTTGTTGGCCAATAATGTACGGGACTTATACTCGCCATGTTCACATCTCCCATAATACACCTTGTTACCCTCCCAAAATTTTGCATAAACATTATCCTCAGTTTCTCTTTCGACGACTGTATTACCCATGAGAAATTAAAAACAAAGGTTATGCAAAATTCTGGGGGCAAACAAGGTGTATAATGGTGTATAATACAGCCGTCCAAGGTGAAATTGAGGACACTGCTTATGCAAAATTTGGTGGGAAAACAAGGCGTGTTATGGGAGAGGTGCAAATGGCGAATATGTCCTAGTGTCTATGTAATGGTCCGGATAGCCTCAAAGGAAACGAGGGGATCCGGACGACTCTGTGAAAACTACTAAAGAGTCTTGGATTTACCTATGATCCCTGGAACAACAAACATATCATCCTTCGAGCATGGGTTACAAAAGATATGATGAAATCGCAATGTTAATAACTTGTGGAAGTTTTCTTTTATGTTGTCCTGGACACGACGATCACGTGCATCGCCATCATAGTAAATGTCAAGTTCGCTCCCCAAATCGATGACGGATTCACTCCAGCTGCATCAAAGTAAAAAAGGTACACATAGGGGAAAATCCCCGTTAGATCATCAAGATGCATTATATATAGGATAATTAGCCATTACATTTGTAATAGACGAGGCGAGATTAGATTTAGACTGTTCACAGTCCTCTATTTTTCCGTAAGATCATGACAGGGCTTAAAAACGGCTGATTGGTCGAGAGGTTGTGACGTGAAAAGCGATCTCGTAGTTACTGCGCATGCGGAAAGTTAAGAATGAATGATCTTGTTGTCAATATGGCGGACGATCGTTAGCCGATTCGGAGCTGTATTTCGGCGCATTTTTCAAATTTCTTACCATATCAGGACGTGTTGCTACAGTAGTTAAGATTTATCAGTTTGTATTAAATTCCTGATACACAAAACATAGTGTTTCGGCTACTTAATCAACAGATAAAAGAGCAACATGTTTTGATGCAAGTAAGCGTCAAAGGAATCAACCGTCAACAACATACAACTCAAGTGGTTTGCGACTTTTGGTCATTGCCTTTTTTGTATGGAGTGGCTTCTAGAAGAGCCGTTTTGTGTTGGAGAAGTCTTTTCCATGGATTGATGACGGC